GTTTTCATAGGTGGATTTCAAGAATCATTCAAAAGTCATCACCCTCTACGTTTCAACGTAATTTAGTCAATTAGTTACAAGCAACAATTATGATTACGCCAACAATATTTTATTTAAAGGAAAGCATATCGGCTCACCCTATCGTGCAGGGTAATATATTTTACTAGCTAATATGTAATTATTATAGTATTAACAGTCGGTCTTCTTTGCTTACATGCAAATGTTATCTTTTTTCTATGCAATTTAAGTCAATATGCACGAAATACAAAGATGTATAAATACATGGAAATCTATCAAATTTGTGTATTATACATTTACTTCAAGAAATTATATCTTTCAATTTAACTAGTCAAAATTTAATGTATTCCTATCAAAATACTCATATTGATGAGATCTATCAATTATTAAAAGTTATGCGGTAAAAGTTTTACTAATATAAAATGAATTTCTATTAATGCTATGACCTTTCACACATGAAAATAATAAAGAAGAACATTTCTCTAGCACGATTAAGTAACACATTATCTTCCTTACTGCTAGTAGGGATCCATAGATAGGAAGGGTTCTTACCAATAAGAACATTCAACAACTATTATCATCATCCACCTAAACCACTGATTGACAAATCATTCATAGAAAATGATACTTCCTTCTCATTTGTATTAAGATGGACTATCATAAAATTTTTGGTGTTTTTGTTTTGCATTGAGAGAGGCTCTTTCCATTGCAATGGCAAGCAAAGAAGGTTTGATTTCAAAATGATTGCAGCTTTGATGAAAAACCTATAGAAGAGAGGAAGGGGTAGCATAAGAAACTAAATAGAGCAAGGTGTTAATATCTATGAGGATAGACATTACTCGAAAAAGTGAAAAGTCTAAGAAAGTTATCTTTAAGAAATTAATTTTTTTTAGGCAAAGCTAATCATAAGTTTATTCTAAAGATGAATGAGGGACATACAACCAGGCCAAAGGAGGCCAAAACACGAAAATACAAAGTTTAAAATATCACAATAAGCGACATATTGCAAAGTAATCGAAAAATAAAAAATAAGTCAAAATGAGAGCAAATAAAAAAGCCCTTAAGCCAGTCGGAGTCAGAACACCACCTAGTTTCCACGCCTGGACCATCCATTGGAGGCAGAGAATGCAACGGCAAAAAGTCCCAAAAATCAAACAAAAGTCACCATTGATCGATCAGATAAAACAACCTCCAAGGTTGCCAAAACAAGCCAAGGCCATCCAAGGGGCCGTGCAAGAAACCTATCTCGTCATTGTTCGACATTGAAAAACCAACCAGCCAAGTAGCCACCAACAAATCCAACTAGCCAACACCCAAATCATTGGCACCACCAAGAACATCCAAACCGAGCAAACAACTGAAAGGCCACAACAACGCCAATAGGCCAAAACCAACCGAAAGCCAAACAACACTAACAAAAACCCAGACACCAATCAGCCAATGAAAAATCACAAGGCCACCAATCAAAACCCAAAACCAAAAATAACAACAAAATTGGGATCAAGAGCAACAACATAACATCATAATTAATTTTTTCTAGATTTTCTTTTGCCCCGTTTACCACTTCCATGAGAGAAAGCATTATACACAATATGAATAATCTTCACGCTATACAACGCAAGAAACTCATCCATTGAATCATCCACATCTTTCCTAACACACCCACAAGGTGAGGAGACAGACCCGTCCAACCAATCAAAGTTGTATGTGAAAAGGTAAAAAGGGTTAGAGGATGAAATGCGGAAAAAATAGTATTTAGCTCACTCGCAAGAGCAAATGGTTGTGAAATCATTTTTAGTAGCCTCAAAAAAGAGGAAACTAATTAGATCATATAAGGAGCACATCACCGCAAAGGAAGAGAAGGAGAAAAAAAAGAGCTCTTAAGACACTTGCAAAACTATTTATCACATCTTATATGGATTAGTAGTCTATGAATAAAACAATATTGCCTAATTGGCATATTACTCATTACCCAAAATTCACTAGTTCACTCTCTAATTGGTAAAAGCATCAGCCATTTCCTTGATGATGCTTGTTCATTTGAGGCAAATTTTTCATAATTTGTTTAACAAAAGTTGTCATAATTCTACTTTATTATATCTTCTTACTATTTTTTCTAAAATATTTTATGTTGAGAATTAAATTTTGTAATTGTCTTACATTTTTAAATGGAAGAAAAGTTTTTCATAATTTTCATAATTTTCAGAAAGTTTATTTTTCCCATAATAACTCTAAATAATTCTCACCACACCCTTAAATAAATCCTAAGTATTTGTGCTTTGGATGCAAGGGCAATGTATTCCATTAGATAGTGGACATATTTTAAGTACTGGATACAAAAAACATACATCAATATGCATTATCTATGTTATTTTGCATAAAATAAATATGGCATAATATAAGCTTTAATGTTATTTTAAGAAACATAAAACTACTTAATAAAATATATTTTAAGGTAGTAAGCAACAAGCCTAAATGGCAACCTATCATAATGCTAAAAAAAGATATAAGTGGTGAAAAATTAAAATTCAAATTGATTCATACAATTGGTCAAAATTATTCGATTTAGACTTCATTTGGGATAGCTTTTTTAATGATTTCAAAAGCAGCTTTTTAGTACAAAAATATTTAATTCAAAAATTTGTGTACTAAAAAACAGCTTTGAAAAGCAGTAAGAATGTCATCCCAAATGTAGCCCTAGTCTTTCATGCATGTTAAATGGCTCTAGATAAAAAATACTCAATATCAATTCAAGTTCTTTTATATTATAAGGCTTTGTTTGGGACAGTTTTCTTACTGCTTCTTAAAGCAGTTTTCTAATATAAAAATTTTAATTTTTGTTTTAAAAAGCAATTTTAAGAAACAATAAAAAATCTGTCCCAAATGAAGTATGAATCTTTATAGATCTTTTTCTATGATAGCATCCATCAAATTCTTGATAATTTTTAATTCTAAAGACGCATTCAGTCCAACACACTTACAAATATTAGTAGTTTCGCACAAGTTAAATATATTGATAAAGGATGATCGATGCAAGCTAATATGAAAGAATCGAAGAAAAAAATATGTTATAAGGAATATTAAGAGGCATTAAGATAAATTTTCTTTTTAATTTAAAGCTATATTTTTGTGACAAGTAATCTGTCCGTTATTTGTAAAATTTTAAGAATATCTCCATGAGAAAATAATTTGACAGATTTCTATATGTATTTTATGAGTATTTTATGAGATATAAGATAACTTCCAGATGTTTTATTTTCTTTTATAACACCTATATAATACCAGCTGAAAAATTCCCCTAGAAGGTCAAAATAGAATTGAAAAAGTTAAGTACTAGTCGTTTTATAGTAAGTGAGCTATTGGAAATGGTGAGCATAGTAATAAGGCTCTGTAGTAGATGCAGAATGGCAATGGGTACTTCAGAAATCTAGAAAAGATAACAAGTTTTTGCTTAGGGTTCGTCCAAGAATGCTAATTTTTATAAAGGTGATTGTAAAAGTGCTGCGAAGAAATTATTATTTTTTTTTTTTTTGAGAAATTTAAGGGCATAGCCCGTATATTAAATTGAAGTAAGGAAAAAAGAGGCAAAAAACCTCAGGTTACAAAACTGCTCAAAAGAGCAGACAGCAAACAATATACCAAAGGCCCTAACACAAAAACTAGAAGGAAATAAAAAACAAAACTTCCAACTAGCAAAGGTAAAGAAAAGACTGTAACAGAACAAGAAAGAGCTGAAAAATCACAAAGAACAGCAGCCCTTAGGTGAGCACGATCAACCCAGCATCCACGTCAATCCACTGGCAGAGCAAAGCCATGATACCTGTAAAATAAAAGAAAATTTTCTTCCAGCAATAAAGTGAACCCCAAGATGGGTTAAATCGGTCTTCAGGGATATCTCTGGCTCAGAAAAACAGATTCATCCCATAAAAAACAATATCCCCCGGTTGCATCTTAAAAAGCAATCTCTTAACATAAAAATTCTTGAAAACCGTGAAAATGGAGTAGCCTAACAGAAATTAAATTACATCCTATCAAGAAAGTTGTCATAAATAAAGGTTTAGAATTCATTTGAGACAACTTTCTGACTGCTTTTTAAAATATTTTGAACTAAAAATTTTGTTTTAAAAAATTGATTTAAAAACTAGTAAAAAAAAATTATAAACAAAGTGAAATTTCTATCTTCAAGTTTCTAAAGTGTTGTTTCTTCATGTTCCTCATTTGAAACGCAGAGTTGATTAAAATTAAACCACATAAATCTTGTTTTTTTTTCAATCTTTCAGTCTATTGTATTCAAAATAGACATTTTTTTGCTTAACAAGTGATATCACAACTAATAACTCCAGTAACCCTGAACAGTTAATGCTATTTTAGTTTTTATTAATTTTCATTATAGTTCAGCGAAATTTAAATTTAATTTTCTTCCACAATACTGCAGCTACAGTTGGAATGTCTGTACAAAATTTTCTTTTTCAGAAAATTTTATAATATAAAATTATTTTATAAATCAATATAAAAATTATCCCAAATAAAACTTAATGATATTGGTACATTCGTTAATTTTCTTACCATGTGATCAGGAGATTTTTAATACACCGAAGAGTAGGTTATAGATCCAACATAAGGCAGTTGAAAAATGTGTTAATAAACAGTCGACCACCATTTATAAGCTTAAATTTTAGCTAAAAAAGAATTTGATCGTTGATGTTCATAACCTAACTTTTATCCTCTTTACTTAACTTCCTAACAAGGGATATGTGGAATTGTAAATCCAATCACCAGAGCTCTCAACCGAAGCATGAAGCAGAGCATGGCTTGCTTCATTTGGATTTTAAATAGGATTTAGACTTCGTTTGGGACGGTTTTTTTACTGCTTCGTAAAACAATTTTTTTACTTGAAAGCTGCTTTAAGAAGCAACAAAAAAATCATCCCAAATGAATCCTTAATATTGAGTGAATCACCCTAAATTTTAGTAGACCAGTTCTGGATATGCTTAATAGAATCATTTTTGCAATAACAGAAGTGTTCAGGTTGACAAAGTTTACACAAAGAATACCTCATCTATTCTAATCAAAACATCACTAGTAATTCCTTTTGCACTGAAATAGAACTGAGAAAAAAAGAAAAACCAACTACCAGGACACATTATAGTCCAGTCACTACCAAAACATGTACAAAGAAAAGTGGCTTACCTCCACTGTGCAGTTAGCCTCTTGCCGAATATACATCAAAATACTGCAACACATCTGACTGCGATGAATAATCCATTCTCTCACTCTTGCTCTTGTAAGAACTCCGGTTTGATAAAGCTGGGGCTTCTTGTTTGATGGCTGCCTGTCGCATCTGCAGAAAGGCCAGCATACTCACAGCAAAAAGAGCTGCGTTTCCTAACACACCGCCAAACCTATCCAAGCTTAGTGAGGATTTGGCAAATGCAAGGCTAGAGATCAACATCTCCATGAAAGCATGTGGTTTGCAATCTTTTTCAGTGCCGGCATCTTCTCCGGGTCGACTTAGCGGTTCTGCAAAGAGATTCTCTGGAGCTATGAATTGACTGGCTTCCTGCACATCTGAAACAAACGCTTGGGCTTCTTCAATTACCTTGTGTTTTTCACCCTGGTGTTCAGAAAGTCTCATCGCCAGAATAATGCGGCTCTGCTCCAGCCGAGCTATCGCAGCATCTCGTTCTGCTTGTTGCTGTGATTGTATGGTCTGTAACATGTGATGTCCATAAAAATTTACTAATTGCATATAGCAAATAAGAATCTCGTTGAGATAAATAAAAACTCCTATATAAGTAGCATGAATTCATTTTTGTCAAAAAACTTAGACAACACTAGGTTATCATGAAAGCATGCATTGAAGAAGAAAAAATATTACAGGATTTTTTGTATGATGGTTTCTTAAGATAGAATATGAATAAAAGCATAACCAAGATATATTAGTAACTTAATGCTAGCTAGCAGATAGACATCATAGAAAAAATTTCAGCATGACTTGTTCTATGGATTGGTGAAATGCATTAGAGGAATGGAAAAAAATGTTGACCTTTCCAAAAAATAAGCAGATGGCATCCAAGCAATACTAGTTCACATAAATGGAAAGGAAAAAAAAAGAGTGATATTCATTAAAGCTATTATTTAGTAGTGATTTTCAGCTATTTTCATTGTAAAAAGACCTTAAACATTATAATTTTTTTTTAAAATTTTTGAAGAAAATGAGCAATGAAAAGCCTACAGGGCACGCCCAAATCTTCCAGGGTGGTTTGATGACCATAAGCAACGCTATTCCATCAATTTGAGAGCACGAGCTTTTACTTTATCGCAAATAGAATAGTACAATATTATTAAATGAAGCATAAGATTTCACCGGTCAATGATACTGAGTACATGGCGGCAAGTCTTGTAAGGCGCTTGTGTGTTACTGCTTGAAAATTATGCAAAGTACGGGGATAACAATTAACTTGCTAATTAGATTGAGCAGACAGAATCTTTTACCAATTAAGTCTTTTCCTCTATTAAATACCATAGTTTAAAATTGCGCATTAAGAGGCGCGCCTCAGCACAATTTTAAACTTTTAAGCCTCAAAGCCTACACAATGAGAGCTGGCATTGAGGTGTTACGCCTCAAGTTCACTGAGGCCTCTCCTCATGTTTAGAGGCGTCCGCCTCTTAAAATAAAAAATAAATCTAACCACTCAGTACAACAATGTTGGGTACCACTAGGTACATGCTTAGTACCGTTGGGTATATGCTCGGTACAGCTCAGTAGTCGGTACATGCTCAGTACCGCTCGGTATCTTTCCATATAAATGACTTAAGAACTTTAATAATAAGCAGAACTTCAAGGGCACTGCCCCCGGAAAAAAGGCAGCAGGAAACCCTCGCAAGGGCTCTACACACCCCCCCCCCGCGAACAGGTCGAACCCCGCTAGGGGGCAGCGCCCCCTTGGACCCTCGGTTGCCCGGCATGTTGTTGTATGCATCATCTTTAGTAATAGTTGTTAGTGTTAGTCTGTTTCTTCATGAGTGCATGCTTTGTATAAGTTTTCTTAATGTAGAATAAGTGAAGCATTATATTTAGGGGTTTGATATATTGCACTAATAAAATGCACTAATAGATGTTAGTGTTTGTCTGCTTCTTCATGAGTTGACTATATTTCATATTGTCTTATTATTGGAATATTTTAATTTCACTTCATATCTTGTGCCTTTTAATGTTTATATTTTTTACTCATTAGTATTAAAAAAATTATCATTTTATGTTTACGCAATCTTTTTATTTTAAGGATTACGCCTCAAAACGTATTGAGGCTTATGCCTTGCCTCACGAACGAAAAATACCTCAATGCCCGTTTACGCAATTTTAAACATTTTTAAATACAAATAATAAAATACAGTTCCACAACTTATAAGCAAAGCAACCACATAATTTAGACTTATTTATCAGAGAAGTTCAGAAGAAAAGTGAAAAACCTTACAGATCAACAAAAATTTATCAAAACACTAACAACTAGACTAGAAACACAAGGGATAACAAATAACGAAACATGCTAGGTTTAACTGCATTGGAGATTTTGAACAGTACTAGATTTTTTGTTTTTGAACAGTACTAGATGTAAGAACTCATTTCTTTCTTTAAAGGTACTAATAAAAATATAACTCCACGAAGAAAAAAACAATAACATTTATAATGGAAATAATGAATTGGGATTTGAATTGGGAAACGTTATGAGAGGGGTAAACAAACATTATGTAGTATTAATATTCTATCCAACTAAAAATGGTATACTTTGCATTGAAGCTTCTACAAATTGACAATTCTTAGAATAGAAATTAAATGCAAATAAGCGAGGGGATGTTTGGGATCGCTTTTTTTTTTACAAACATGTTTAATTACTGTATTTTTAAAACTATTTTCATTTTTTATTTTTAAAAATAAATCAAGTTGTTTTTACAAACACTCGAAAAAATTTATACGTATTTTGAGCATTTTTATAAACAACTATCACAATCGATTGTCACGACCACAAGTGCAATAAAATCTTATTCAAGATTGTCTAAATATTATAATTTCAATACAAACTTACAATGAACAGTTAATAAAAGCAATAAAAACTCCCTAACTAAGACTTTTATCTAAATATGTCCAGTCTACAAGTCTACCTATAGACTGGAACCAAGCCAAGAATTGCTATTCAGTGTTTTCCAAGATGTCTGTACATGGACAAGCCCCAAGGAATCATTTGGCTAAGCCGAAGCTTTTGAAGCACTTCATAATCAGTAGAACCAATTGGTACAAAAACCAAATCCAACCTTACAACATAAAAATCAAGGCAATGCCCAGTAATCAACAAGGCCTGAAGACTATGTTTAAAATATATCAAAACGCCTTTTAGTAAACTTGCCCATCCTAACCATCTCAGCCCAACGATTGTGTGATGAATTGCACAGAGAGACTATTAATGCACTAGTTACAGCGTAAAGTGATTCCTAACTTGTAAGAGTTTAAAGAGGATACCCTAACTTTCTTTGGTCAAAGTTGTAGGACAGAGAATAAAGAATTCATCATACGGTTTAGATTTACATTTCTCTGTTAACCGAACAGTAAATTTTCGACATAGAGTAAATATACATATTATAATTAGAATCGATTCCAAATACAGTTCTCACAATCCCAAATAACATAACTAAAAAGGAAATGCATAGCCTAACTCTAATAAAAAATCTCAGAACCGAATTCCTTAGCTTTCAATTCACAACAATCAAAACAGTATAACCACTTTTACTGCAAAAATACTGTAGATTGTAAGGCACTTCAAGGCGGAATCTCAATATATTAAACTTGAAACCCCATGCCCACATACGAATTTGGCACCAAAGAAAAAAAAACATAATAAACCAGCAACAAAGAGGAAACAGAGAAACCAAGAACGGAAGGCTCACGTGGAAGAACTCGATCTGATCCTCGAGGTTCTCTAGTGCAGACCTGATGGCGTTGAGGCTCCTTGCCTCAGCCAGGGCGGCGTCCTCATCCGGCCGGAAACCCTTAACGAAAACGTAACCACAACTTCTTTCATCGCTTCCGTCGCCCAAGTCTCCATCCGGTGGATGGTTCTTCTCCTGAGGTCGGGCGAGATTCTTGATGGATTTCAGGAAGTGAGCTCTGGAGATCGCATGGATGGCGTCGCTAATCTTGTCATGGAGGTCCCAGATTCTCTCCAGGACTGCTTCGATCTGTTCCATCTCCATCTCCCATTTCATCAGACAAGTGACTTAGGGTTAGGGTTTCTGATTCCCTCAGACCGTTCTCGGAACCGCGAATGCGGCTTCGCCGGAGGCGGAAATTTGAGGGAAATGTAATATTACGGGAAAATTTAGTCGGCCGAAATGAGAGAAGAAAACTAGCGCCGATCTGGTCTGTTCATTTGGTAAGGGACGACTGATGATGAGAACTACTGGCATTCTGCCGCTTAAAAGCCGGACAGTCTACACAGGCGCTCATTGGGGATTGCGGGGGATTGCGGTGTCAAAGCTGTTTGGTTGCCTGTTTATTTAAAGTAAATGTAGTGTAAAGTAAATATAGTGCATTCTAAATATTTTGAGGCTGTTTGTTTGTCTGCAAAGTGAACGTAGGAGAACTGTTTCTTTTGTTTGTTTAGATATATCCAGAGTAAAGTAAAAGTAGTGCATTTGTAATATTTTTTTTGTCATTATAACTAGTGTATTGATAAAAGAAGTTATAATTTTTGTTTGAAATTATATGATATAATATTTTGTTGTGTATTAATTTAGCTGTGTGCTGCAATAGATATAAATATATTTGTAATTGAGAGAAATTTTAGTTTTAATGTTGTGAAATTATAAATTTTTAATTTTAATTTTGTCAAATATAAATTTTCAAAACTTACAACTTGCCAATAAAAGGAATACAAGCTCTGAAAAGCCATCTTATGTAAATATATTTGTAATTGAGAGAGATGTGCTTGTTTTAAGCTTTTAAACCTATCATTATAAATTCATAATTCATAATCATTTAAGTTTTAAGCTGCAGCATAACAACAGCATCGACAATGCTAATTTATCTTCAAAAACTGCAAAAACAATATGGATGAACACGCAAGGAAAAAAAAATTAAGGTCTAAATTACATAACAGGAAATCGTGTAATTTCTCAATCCCAAAATTAACCTCCCCATGGCCTTTATTCTCTCCATTCTCCTCTTCATCCTCTTCTTCCCTCTCCTCACTTCCGGTAAGCTCGCCCTCTTTGTCTTCCTCCACTATCCTGTTTTTCCTCTCACACTTCACTCTCCCTCTCCGCAGGGGCGAACTCCAGAGACATTAATGGCGGTGGAGAACCTCCTTTCGTCGGCATGGTGCTCGGCGAAGACGTTTCCAGCCTTCTTCCTCCCACCGACCTCGCCCGACCTCGCCCGATTCCTTGTCTCCCACCGACCACCGGAGTACGCATCCTCATCACCATCCCAAACTCCCTTCTCCTCGCGTTCCAGCGACCACCGGAGTACGCATCCTCATCACCGTCCCAAACTCCCTTCTCCTCGCATTCGCCTCATCCCCTTCCTCGGCCTCTTCATGGGCCTCTCACATCATCCTCCCCTTCATCACCTCCATCTCCGCCATCGCCGTCGGCGACGACTTCTCTGCTTCCGTTTCCACCTCTCTTCTCCTCCCCGCTCTTCTATCCTTATCTTCCGCCATCTCCGATCTCCATTCCCACATCCCGATCTCCACTCCCCTACCTTTCTTCGTCCAGCGAATTTAAAACCCGCTCAATATGAGCGGGTTTCTAATTCCCGCAAAAGAGCTCCCATAATACACCCCTAATGCATCAGATGATTTTCTTTTGTTTCGCTCAAAATTAACCAAACAACTCAATTTAGTATATACCTGTATTTATTTTACTTTACACTGCTAATACAAACAACCAAACAGCCCCTAAGGAATTTTTATTGGGTGTGGAGTGCGGACGTAGCTCTATGTATGTAATCTTCTAATAAAATGCCACGTGGAGCTCACCTTGACCCCCCCGATCTATTCACCACATGTTTTTTTTTTACAGCGCGGCCCGATGACTCGAACCGCCCGAAAAATTGAAGAAAAAATGTTTGCAGGCCCGATGACCCGTCCCGAAATGAATTTGTATATATCGTTTTAGTTTTTCGAGATGATCTGAAAAATCTCTTCCGGTTTTACTTATTCGGGCGTTTTGATTTTCTACATTACTCCACAATGAATAGTTGCATGCGATTTTCATATTCTACACAAAGCCACTTCATCTTCAGTCTTCATTTTCTACATGGCGAAGGTATGTTTTTTCTATAGTCATTTCTATCGCGTTTTAGGGTTTAGGTTTGGATTGGATAATAGTTTTTGTAATGTGTGGTGGGTATTGGTATGTAGCTATCGATTTTGCTCTATGAGTCGTGTGGGTACCGCTGGATACCCTGTCTAGGTACCGCTGCATACCCCGTTTGGGCACACTGAATATCCACCCTTCTGTTCATTTCGGAATGCATTGTAAGCTCCATTAGTTCTAGGGTTACTGATTAGAGTTTTTGTTTATTTTTTTTTCTGTTGAGAGGAAATCATTTTGAATGTATACTGCTTTGTACCTTCTAAGAAGCTCTAGGTACCGTTATGGGAAATGTTGTGAACAATAGGTACTGATATGTGCCTCTCGGTACTGCTCGGTACCTCTAGGTGCTGCTAGGTACTGCTCGGTACCTCTAGGTGCTGCTAGGTACTGCTTGGTACCGAGCAGAACTTGGAGATACCCGACCTAGAATGCATTTTTTCCTGATCAAATATAGGATATTATGCAGGGATATGTTCTGAAGATTAGCTTCCATTGTAGAACATCCATTTTTAAAGAAGTCTATGGTCATTTGATCGAAACATTTGGCCCAAACTTCATTGATAGTTTGAAGAAAATAATTTTCATCATTTTCTTTTGATGCCACGCTATGTACAAAATGTTCCATTAGATTTTAAGTTGCCATCATCATGGGATATTAAGAAGCAATGTTTTATCATTAAAGACCGAAAGTTACGATTTACTGTCGAAGAAGTTTCTATGATTTTAGGCCTATCGAACAGAGGAAAGAATTTTGAATTAGGAAGCGCCATAATCACAGAAAAATTAGCAAACGGTATTAAGAAGGAGGTTATTAGTTTAGATGAATCAACTCCAATTCCCAACGTAGTGAAGAAATTCATCATTTTCTTGTTGTCAAACATTTTCTTTCCTTTGCACAACTGCCGAACACAAGCTACTATTCTCAATGTAGCTCGTAATGTAGATAATATTTTATCTTACAAATGGCTAGAATCAATTAGAGAATTCATTGTGGCTGACTTTGATGCAATTGCGAAGAAGTTTAGCAACGGACAATCACTTAGATACTTGAATGGAGTTGTACATATTATAATTGTGAGTACATTGAATTAAATTATTTTTTTATTTATGAATGATTTAGAATCTTTGAAGATTATTTTTATGTTCTCATTCTTATGTTTTGGTTGCATATATGGTTTCTAGAACACTCTACAGTCCACAAACCAGTGGATTCAAAATCAAGATCACGGTTTCTCCGATGAGGTTGTGATATAATTTATAACGAAGTAGATGCCACTAGTTTATTTGAAGGTCTTGAAGCTGTAGATATAATAAAATCTTTTGACGTAATAACCAGTAAGGAGATTACATTATTAACAATACCTCCCCACATACATCTGTAGATCAAAGATCCACATCACTTAAAAGATTTCCTAATTAACAACTCACCTTGCGCACTACAGGAAAATCACTTATTACCAACGGAATTTTTCGGCGGCTTTCTGGCAGTTTTCCGACAGTTTATTTCTTTTGTAATTTTTCGGCGGCTTTTCTAGATTTCTGGCGACTTTTAAATAATTTAAATAAAATGTTTAAAAATTTATTTATTTAAATGATTTAATAAAAAGATTAAAAATTATATTAACTAATTTAAGTTAACTTTTTTCTTAATTAAAGATTTAAATTTAAAATTATTATTTAAATTTTAATTTATTTTATAATTTTATTTTTATTGATTTGTAATTTTAATAGTATTTTAGGAAGGCAGTGGGCAGCATGAAAATGCTTTCAGGCAGGTGGGCAGTGGGCAGCTCGGCAGTCAGGCGGTCAGTGGCGGCCAAAGACACCCGGAATGCCACCTAGGAGGCCAAAGATTTTTTTTTTTTGAATTTTTCGGATAGGCAATGAGCACCGGAAAGCAACCTAAATATTTTATCGCAGAAAAAGGCCGCAAGAAAAATTTTTCCAATGTGTGTTTTACCAACGAAAATTTTTATGCCAAAAAACTGCCGATAAATTCCAAAGCCACTGGAAAATTATCACTTTCCGCCAGAAAAAGCTGTCGGTAATAGGTGGTTTTGATGTAGTGGCGCAAACCTCACGTACAACGTTCTTCACCTACACCCTCGAAACCCCCAAGCCCATTCAGCCACTAAGCATCCACAACCCCCCCAAGTCACCTGGGCAGCAGCAACCAACTTCCCCAACTAATTTACACCATGTTAGTATTAAAGAATCCCTCTGTAAGATATTGGATGAAAATAAACTTCTTTAGAAAATACTAGCAAATCTGGAATCAACAACAACTCTGACAGAGCAAAGAAAGGCTACAGTAGAACATCATGTTTTAGAGCAACGGGAGATGGATAGGAGATTTGAAGCTATGGAGAAGTTCTTATCTGAGAACTTTCTAACATTTAACCCCTTGTCTACTCTAGAGGAACACATTGAATCTTCATCCAGGAATGTGATAGATGAAAAGAAGAAAGTGGTGGATGAAGGCATGGATACAAATATAATTGTCAATACTGAAGGCCTATTTAAACTTGATGTACCAATCAATGACAACCCATCTAATCTGCCAGGTGATGTGGATGATGCTGACCTAGCTGATTCATCTAGCATGAACATAATAAGAAGGGTGAGAAGAATTCTAGACCAGAAAGCTAAAGAGGTTATGACCCCATTCACCACTGGTCAAAATAAGATAATGAAGATAATGAAAAAACCCATTATAAGGCCTTCCCCTGCAAAGACAGCAATTACAAAAACTCTAATTGATGTTGATACTGTAAATCACCCCAACCAAGACCAGCTCCAATAGAATTAGATTATCCTGGGAGGGCAATGATAAATGATGAAATAAGGATCTTTATCGACAATTGTTTTCGAAAGTATACTAATAAGTAAGTTTTAAAACTTTAAATAACTTATTGCTAAGAATGAGTATCAGTCGGTACTGCTAGGTACCTCTCAGTACTTCTTGATACTAATGCTCAATAAAACTCTATCTGCTTTTAAGTACTGCTTGGTACCGCTCAGTACTGTTAGGTATTGATTGATATAACTCTGTCTGCTTTATAAGTACCTCTAAGGACAGCTCAGTATCGATCGGTATCCCTCGCTACCGCTAGGTACTAACACATTGTTGACAAAATATCTGCTGATGACCTCTTAT